TAGGTACAAAAGACATTGTGCTCTGGAGAGCTTCTCCAGGAACTGGAGAGCTGCTGTACGCCAGAAGCTGGAGCACTGATTGACAGCCTCTATTTAAGAAAAACAGTTACAGAATAATTAGTGACAATTTGTACAAATCAGAAGAAGTGACCTCTGTGGCTGCGCAGCCTCTTACGTAAAGAACAAAGCTTTTCTCAGCAGCACTGACAAATTCAGAACTAAAATGGGACTCAGTTATTAAGTAGAGGCTGGTTCAGCAAAGTCCTTCAAACTTCCCTGCTTTGTGGCAACCGACCCATCCCGAGCACCTACAGATAACTCCACAGCAGGGAAGCAAATCCTGGGTCTTACTTCCAACGCTGACAAAGATTTTGTTGCTTCGGGAGTGGATTTTTGTTTTCCTTTCCCTTTATCCCTCTGCCTCATCTTTGTCTCAGCAGTAAGTTTGCCTTCCCAGCCTGGCTTTCTGCAGCAAAGGATGCCAATCATTGAGAAACTCTTAGACAAAAGGCATTCCCTTCAAAACACCACTTAAAAAAAATTATCTTAAAATTAAAAATATAAAATACGAGTTGTTCCAGTAGCGAGCGGAAGGGCCACAGCTTCCTCGCCTGGTGCAGGCCCCGGCTCCCACCTCTGCTGAGCTTCACCCAGCACCGTCCCAGCCGAGGACAGGCCACCGGGACACGAGGGGCCCCCTGGATGTGTTTAACAGCTCCCGCGCAGTTTCAGAGCAAAGCTGGCAGAGGAGGAGGACGCCCAGCGGGGCTCCTCTCCGCGCGCTCGCCTGCCCGAGCAGCTGCTTCGGCAGCTGTTCCTACCAGTTGGTGGCTGAATTTTACAAGGTATCTGTCCGTAATTAAAAAGCAACAATACTTTGGCAGCCATTATAAAAATGCATCACTGGATTGCATCCCACGGGGAGTACTTCTGCACTGGAATGTGGGGAGATGCAATGGATATGACCATATAGGACTTCCCCGTTTCTAAGCCCCTAAGATTATCCACGTAACTACTCTGCCAAGACCACCACCAGCATCCAAAAACACGAGCTCCGTTTGGACTGGTTGCAGGTCAGAAATGCTCATCTCCTGCCCGTGCCACTCAAACCTGGCCTGTGCCAGGACATATGGTTGCAAGGTGCTCTGCAGTGTAAGCGCAAGGGTTTGGAGAGCTGCAGGTTTGGTGGGGAGCTTTTAAAATATGGGTCTTGCACAAGAGGATTTGCTCCATTTGGAGCATGTTAAGACATTGTGCTTGTGCCAGCTAAGCAGCACACCCAGAATCAGCAAAGCCTGGGCCAGATAAAGCTTGGCACAGGAGGGAATGGGAAGAGGCCCCTGGGGAGCAGGTTGGTGCTCCCCGATCCCGTGCCTGGCTTGCAGTCTTGGTACCTACTAACAGCAGTTAGAAAGCTGCTCCAGCCCATGCCCGGGCAATGTCCTGCAAGCTGTACAAGCTCCAGAAATGGCCTCAAGTGGCACAAAACCTTCCGTAGCAGACTTTTTCCCTGGTCCATATGGGAGCCTGGCTACGGGAGGGAGCTGTTGCACTCTGCAGGGGGGGAAGGATGCCCTCTGGAGCAGGCAGGGGCAGGCAGGGGCAGGGGAACACGCTCAGCCACGTCTCTCCGCTCACACAAGCAGGGAACCGAGGCTGCTCTGTCTCGCCCAACGAGCAGGATGCTGCCGAATGCCGTGGGATCCGTGCCATGTGCTCCAGTGGAAGCAGAAATCTAGCTCCAGTCTGCAAACCGCTGCACGCATATTTGTAAACCATTGTGTACACAGTAGATAAATGCTTAATAATCATGATGACAAACAGACCTAAAACCCAGAAGCAGCTTCCCTCCGCATTAACTGCATCAGGAACAGGTTTCACTGAGCAAAAGCCTCCCTTTTACTGGGACTTCTTACAGCGAAAAAAGCCATCTAACCACAGCCAGCAGTGAAACGACGGCAAACCCAATAAATGATAAATAAAGCCCATGGCGTGTCAGACCCCAGGACTTCACCTGCCAGTTACCACCCAGGCATGTCCATTTTCACATGCTAATGTGGTCACCGCTGCACGTGAAGCTCCGGGGCACAACGGGCATCAGGAGCCCTGACCTGTGCACACACCAGGGTGCAAACGTACGCACCTACCTTGGAGCCTCTGGCCACGTTAGCAAAGAAACTAATGCAGAAGGAGGTTAAATTCCCTGTTCGCGGTGTCTTGCCAAGCTAGGATTAGAGTTTGGGACTCCTGGCACCCAGAGCCACGATTAATCTGCTGAGTGTTTCTACCCCCACCCCTCACCCCAGCCTCCAGACAGTTTCCATGTGCCAGGCTGTGTATGGTGGTGTAGCAAAGTCTTCTCATCTCCATCAGTGTCTGCCTTTCTCTTCCACACTTACTGGAGCCCATCTACTCCTCAGGGATCAGAGGAGCGTTAGGCTGGTAGGAAAATACCTTTCCTATGTAAACCATGCGTTCTGCCATTTCCCTCTCCAAATTACACAGCGTCACAGATCGTAAGCCCTCTAAACAGAGAGTCTTCAGTTGAGGAACAGATCTCTATAAAGGCTGGGATTAAGGCCCTGCACATTAGAAAGGAAAGAGGGAGAAAAAATATGCTCCGTTTAATTACCCAAGCCATAACAACATTTTACTATTTTATAGACGATTCCTGACAAAAGTGGAAATGTTATTTTCCACGAGCATAGCTGCTGGTTCTACTACAAATAAATAGTCCAGGGTGCGCTCACCACGCGAGAGATGGAGGCCATGTGTTTTCATTAATTCTCTTGGCAGAGAAGCCCATGTAGATTTTGGACTGCAGTTCAGGACTGGAACAGGAGAGCTGGGGTGGCCAACATACATCACAGCAGACTACATTTGGCCCAGGTCCACTTACGAGCTGGTCCAATACCCAGTTTTATCATCCTAATTACGAGCAGATTCCCAGCTCCCTCCCTCCCTCGCAGAGGTATCTTCAGCTTCACCCTTTTCTTCCTCCCTCTGGCTGGTTGAAATCAGCAGGTGAATTGCAGTCCTTTGTCTGTTATCGCTAGTAGACAAAGTTTGGCCTCTTTCATTTTCTTTTTATTGCAGCTTCTTTGCTGCGGATTAAAATAATTGATATTGATAATGTGATCTGCCCCCTGCCCCTGTTCCCAATTACTTGCACAGGCTGGGGATCCTGCGTTATGGATATGACAGGAATGGTCTTAATTAGCCTTCTGGGCTACAGAACTGATTCTGGTTTTGATTTGAAATATTTGGGATTACGCAGGCCGACTGTTGTGGGCTGGGGTCATCAGTGGAGCCGGCCGGGGGATTCTGGGGGGCTCGCTTTGAGTTGGCTTTTCTCTGACTGCTGCCAGGTACCTGGCAGCACACGGAGCAGAGCCCTCGTGCTGCCAGGCAAAAATTAAGGACAATTTACCGCAGCCGCTTTTGTGTTCGGGATTAAGAACAACAGCACTGAAGGGTCTTTGCATCCAAAGTTTTACTCGGAATGAAGCAGGACACTGATGGTCCGACAAGAGCCAAACAAGCAGCAGCCTTTGTAAAAGGCCACCCTAAAAAAAGGGTGGTGAAACACCCACCCTTGCATTCAGTGGGTGAAACCCCATTAAAAGTAAATGATAATAACAAAAAAAGGAGCATTAAAGCTGAAAAGGCAGATACAGCTTTCTGGACCTGCAAAATTCCATTTCAAAACATGCAACCAGTTAACTCAGTCACAGGAGTGAAAAATAAAGGTGTCAGTGCCTGGGAAACTGATAGACTTTTTCCCTATTTTGGGGAGAAGAATCTCAATCTGTAACAGGACTGGTAACATAGCCCCTGGCACTCACGTGCAATTATCTTCACACAAGGGTGGAAAGACAGAGCTCCTGTACGAGCGTCCCCGTTTCCACTGCTCAGCGTGCCTACCCCGTAAAAAGTAATTCATAGGCAACACCTTGCAACACGTTCTGCAGGTCAGAGAAGTCAGGCTCTGCCAGCTTTAATTGGAAGGGGGAAATGGTTTCCAGACGTGATGAAGGTCCGCTGAGAATGTCACCCCAAAGGTCCATCTCCAGGGACTGACAGCTCAGGCCTCCCGGCTGAAAATAACTGTGTGGTTGAGGCACGAACAGGTACCCAGGTCTTACCAACACGGGACAAGTGCAGCACCAGGCTGAGACTTTGCAGCCTCGTGCTAACAGATGCGGCGCGCTCACCCGCTCGTTGGATGGACGTGGATTATAGATCAGAGGCGTTACAACGTAGTGTGCCATTTCCAGGGGCTGCAATGTTAATCTGGAGGAGGCAACACTGCTTCAGTACTGTTTCCTTCGTTAAACCAGGGCTACTCGCCCAGTGCAGTGTTGCTGTACGCAGCAATTTCTTTCTTTTTTAACACTGTTTATACAAAACGCAAATGCAAAAATATAGGTAGAATGAGAGGGGAAGCTGAGCTCCCTTTCTCTGTAATCAAAGAGGAGACAACACTCAGAGCCAGAACACAAACCACAGTTTATAATCAGAACGCGATGTAATCACTGAAACAGATGTCGAAAAGATAAAACCGTGTAATTCTGAATTGCCAACGATTAGTGCTCTGCATCTTGGAGAGCACCGAGATGCTCTATTTCTGTCTACATATGTCCGCATTTTGGAAGCATAAGCAGAAAGCATTCAGCACAATGCTATGGAAAACTCCTTTCTGTTCCTCTCCTGTAGCACTATTACACAGGGAGTTCTCAGCGAGGCTCAGGTTTGCTCCTGAATCAGTCCATGATGGTGAGGGGAGGGAAGGAGAGAAATTGGGCTTTTAGGACTGTGGTTGGGAAAAATAGCATCACCAAGCTAGCACATGGACACTGACTGCGTTGCCAGAGATGGAAGGCTGTGATAAAGAAAGAAAATATGGAGAGCTGCCTGGCAGAAGAGAAAAGGTTAGAGAAAATTTTTCTACCAAAGTAAAGCAGACAAGAGAAATTAGTTTTAATGTGCAGATTGCTCACCTCGTAGTGATAATCCATGCAAGTTAACTCTCTCCAGCAGCGATCTCCTCGAATTTTAATCAGCCCCTGGGGGGAAAAAAAAAAGACAAAAAAATACCGTTACAAACATTTTATTTTACTTGATCTTGTATGTCAAGGTATTATCTCAAGATGCCAAATACTCTGGTTAAACTATAGGGAGAGCCTGTAACAGCAGGGAAGCGCAGAGGCTGGAACGACCCCCCCGGAGACCCACCACATCTGCACCCCAGGCCCAGTCGTTGTCCCCAAGGGAACATAACGCAACGAGGGCTCCAACATGACTCCTTCCACTGCCTGTTTACTGAAAATTGGACACAAAATCCTTGTGGAATATGCCACGTCACTTAAAGGGTGCTGGAAGACGCCTTACCCACACCTGAGCTTTCGCAGAGCAGCTATGAGCAGCCCGGGGCTCCCAGCATCGGCTTCCAGCATTGCTGGGTACGAGGCAGGGAGGCACAGAGCAGCAAGAAGCAACAGGAAAAACCAGGCTCTGCCACCGGGACATCTCTGTATAGCAGACTGAAAAGTTACCTGCAGACCTAAACACAGCTGTGTTCACAATTTTAAAATCCAGACTCAATTGTCTCCCTCTCGCAAAGCTGCCTCTGCTGCCTATAGAAAAGGAAACAGTGACACAGGCTGGGATGGGGACCCGCAGCCTCACCAGCCCTGAGCTGGACACAGAGATGCAATCGAAGTAATTAGAGAAACAAAAGAGGAGAAGGGGAAGGAAGCTGACAGATCTAAACACAGATGAATGCGCTAATGACAGGTCTGCTCCACCTTAGGTTAGAGGTTGGCAATGAAATAAGCAGGTATCAGAGGTTGCTGTGCACTGATATTTCAGGGCAACGAGAGGGTGAAATTTCCAAATCAGTGGGTCCATTCCAGGGCTGGCAGTAATATTGGGATTAAATTTCTTTGCCTCAGTGATGAAGAGTAGAAAGGAATCAGTCGTCCACAGCAGGAAAGACACCTGGCCAGGGATGAGCCTGCTAGCAGGAAGCCTTGCAATCAAGCCGTGCCAGCCTGGAGGTATGCGGGTTCAGCCTGACGGCTTTGATGTATGGCGAAAGGTCCCTGATTAGGATCACAACATCCCAAATTGAGGAAAGCTTCACTAGTCAAAAGGTTGAACCAGCTCTATCATCTGCATACAATTAGGGGGTATTTGCCTACCTCTGACATTGCCCCTAATTATAATGTTCCTGCCTTCCTTAGTAGAAAAATACAGGGAGTTTCTGTAAGGACCCATTGCCGGCTACACCAGGAGCATCCTCAAGCTTCTTTACATTTGCAGTAGGGAAGGTTTTCAAGAAGAGACCAGTGACCTTTCAGTGCTAAAATCTGAGAGCTCAACGGAGGAGGAGATTCCAGCACTATGGCACATCCTGGCCTATTGGTTTCATCCAAATTGCTAAAAAAATCTTCACTTGCAGCATTAAACAAAGTTTAGCAGGTTTGGGGCTCAAGAAAAATTCCTAATTCCAGTTAAAGACCCCCCAAAACTGTCCAGATCTCGTAAGTAAATATCCAGAAATATCCAGTTCCCAAGGCTGTGTATGGGCTGTACGACATCTGAGAGTCCAGGGCTGTTGAGCGTGGAGAAGAGACAACAGAGCAGAGTCTAGTAACTCCTGACTGATACAGAAGGGGTCAACTGGGAACGATTGTTGACCATTTCTCCTGATACAAGACGTAAAGGCAATGTGATGGAAGGATCGAGTAGCTGGTTTAGAAACAAACAAAAGATGTACTTTTCCAAACAGCAAATCATTTACTTTGTGGGAGCCAAAAGTACAAATGTGTTCAAAAAGTATTAGACACATTCCCAGAGGACAGGCTCGGGGTAACTTCTGAACACGACCTCTCCCCGGAAAGTCCCCTAACCACTTGACTGCCAGGAGCTTCAAGGAGCTGCCCCAGAAGATCACTTGATGTTTTATATTCCTCCCCAAGCATCTGTTAATGGCTGCTGTTGGAGACAATATAAGTTGTTAGTTGGACCTTGGACTTAACCCAACATAGACTTTCTTAAGCAAAGAAAGATCCACAAAAATAGTTACAAGCTTATTTGGCAGGTAACTTAATAGGAAAGAGGCACCTTTCCTGGTCTGAGCCTTGTACCAGACGATGTTTAGACATGTATGTCTTTGTGAATAGGGGTGACCCCAGTAGCCTTCAATAGGGCTATTTATGGCCTTAAATTATACCTGTTGTCAGGCACGTTGCTGAGTTCAAGCAGATTTCACCCATCTGCCGTTCCAAATTATTTTTCCTTTTTTTCCCCTAGTCATAAAAAAATGAAATATTTTTCACGCCAAGGCTAACTGAAGAGGACAGTAAACAGAAACTACTACACATTTTCAAAATCCATGAATCCAGACAATTTACATCCTGTAATTTTTAGCCAAGAATGAACCAGGAGAACCTGGAGGAGTTAAGGCACTAAAAGCCCAAAATCCTTACGGCACATCTCATGGAGCGGGATGAAAGCCAGTCGTCGTGTGCCCCCCCCAGCAGGGCCGTTTGTACACAATACCATCCTGTGGCCAACCAAGAAAACGCCAGCTAGATAGCACGCTCCCTACGAGCTCTCAGCATCAACTATCGGCCGCAGGAAAAGCATCACCCCACAGAGGCAAATGCTGGAGACGCAACAGAGCAAATCGACACCATCATAACCAGCGAGGATGAACAAGGAGATACAGCAAAGGGCAATCGTTACTTTACAGAAGTGATTGATAAGGAAGATAGCAATAAGGCAAAGGTTTCTGTGGTGTCTGACGTGGCTCTGCACAACACAGGAACGAGGAAGGGTACCAAAGCAGTGTGATGCACGCTCCCTCCCCGGAGGGCGGGCAGCCTGGGGCATGCTGCTACCCTGCATATCTCTGCTGGCCTTCAGACCTGTAAAACTCCTTGCGAGCTACACTGAAGCCTGAGCACTGGCCCTCCCAGAAGCCTCCGGAAGAAAGAGTCACCTTCAAACCCTGCGCATGCTGTCGTCTTATGCAAGTTGCAATGGGAATGGCTGGGGGTGGCTCCACGCACGGCTGAGATGGTTCCATGCCAGGAGCTCAGACATAGAAATACCCTGGCCCGGGCGGTCTGCACCTCAGAATCATCGTGAAAGGGACACCCCTCACCAGCACCACCACCAAAAAACCCCAAGCAGAGCTAGTCCGTAAAGACACAGATAGAAGCACCACGGCATACAAGACTCGCGGGATGGGAAAGCAGGGCGGTGGGTGCCGGTGGCTGCTCTGCGGTTTTACTCTCTAATGAGTTACTCAGCAGATCCCGTCACTCCCTCCTCCATCACTCTGCGAGGGCTGGAGCAGGGGAGGCAGGGACAAGACAGACTCACTGTCAACAGTCAAGGCTTCATCTCCCCCCCCGAATCATCCGCAGCTCGCTCTGCCCCTCAAACCTTTTCTAAAATTACAGGATACGGTGATAGCATCTCACAGGATGTGCCGCAGCCGGCAGCCCTGTCAGTGGCAGGACAGACGATAAGAAAGGCTCTGTGCAAGAATGCTGGAATATTAAAAAAGGACAGCTATCTTGATGACCTGCCCTCCTACCTTGCCCAAGCTGTTACCAAGCTCTATTATTCAGCAGGGATAATTAAAACAAGTATGTGACAGAAAAGCACCATACTGAAAATCAAAATCTTTCCTGCAATGAGTCACTAAGAGAGTTAATCACATTTTGTTTACTATAAAGCTTTCAAACAGGAAAGTCACTTAGAGCTCTTAATATCAAATCTGTTTTTCAGCATAGAAGACTCCCACTCTCATAATTAGGGGGCGTTTCAAGTCATCTTTACCCTGCTGCTGTCTTCAAGTCCACTTCCACTCCCACACTGGCATGTGAGTTTTCCAGTTTTCATATGAAGTTGTACCAAGAAACAAGAGCATGTAATGCACGAAAATCTACGTGCTCCGTAGCTTCATCTCTGCTGAGGAGGACCACGAAAGGAGAACGAGCCATGGTGGCTCGCTAAATAATCCTGCTGTGAAGAGCTGTGGATCCCTGGGTATGGCCACACCCAGGAGGAGCTCTGGCATACCCTACTGCTCCATGCTCGGACAGACTCTGTTTTTACACACTCTCCCCTAATTATTTGGCTTCTGCTGACATTTTTGGAAGTCAGCTCCTGCTCTTTTGAAGATGCAAACTTAGTTTGAGAAAAGGTATCTGGGTCCAAGTGAGCAGAGGAGGAGGAAGGGAGCAAACGGGGATCCCCACATCTGCTGGAGTTTGACATTCACTGGATTTCTTTCAGTCTGCTAACAATTCCCAATCCATTTTCAAGATTTCTCTCTGTGTATTGAGCTGGCCTGGACTCCACAGCTGCAGCAGATTACGCTGCCATACCACAGATCAAAGCACGGGGAAAAATCCCCACCCCCTGCTCGCAGAGAAGCAGAGGCTAGTGCATCTCTGGTGCACCCCAACTGTCCTCTCTTTGGATGTGGAGAGGACCTGTGAGGGACCAGAAGGAGAAGGAGCCAGAGGGTGTGCACATAGGAAAACCCCACAAGACTCCAGCAGACCTGGAAGACCCTCCCCTCATTTGGACATAAGCTACAAACATCTTGCAAGGAGTATTTTGGGGGCAAATATTAAGCAGAGTTTAAGAGGTGAACAATATGGACAAATTAAGTGGAAGATGAGGAAAGGAAAGAAATCATTTAGCAGCACTTTGGAGAGCAGGGCTCACAACCCCAAAAATCACATTTCTAACTGCTTCCTTCCTGCCGCGCGTGGCAGTCAGGTCTCATACCTCCAGCCGCCTCCCGGCAGATTTGCTTGAGCAGAAGGAAAGGAGAGAAAGGAAAGAGCCCGTCTTTAGGCTCTAGTGCAGCAAGGCAGACAGTTTTAAGTATATGATTGAAACCGAGCTCCACAGATCAGCCTTAGGTGGGACCAATTTAAGAACAAACCTGATGTTTTGCTGCGGTAAGGCTGTGCTGGAGGCAATGCCTGACCGTCAGGAAGACCAGGATGCACATGTTTTAACAAAGGACTTTTCC